AAAAAATGCATAAGTCTGACTGAGCAACCATCGGTTAAAGACGAAGATGCTGTGATAGGCTGTCATACGGAAGGAACAAGTAATATTACAGGACGAAAAGACTGAATAAATCAATAAACACATTTACCGTGCCAAAGGATCAACATGCGGCATGATCAGGCTGGGGAGATATAATGGTAAGAGATGGCCAGATGGCGCGCATTCGATTCAATCAAGGATGTCTTCTTCAGCAACATTAGGAAAGAAGCCCGCACCAACCCTTTCCAATTCTATTGTACTTCCGGCAATGTTGGCTGTGAGAGATGTGGTGAGTCACTAAAACCGAAGAGCGCCAGCTATCTGCAACTGAGAGAAGCATGGAAATAAGAATGTTTGGAAGTTTACTTCGAAACCACATCCGCATCACGGTGATCAGACAGCGAATGGGAGTGAAGGACGTCGTCATCGAAAGTAGAAAGCTGGAGAAGCTACGGTGAGCCGGGCGTGTAACTCGGCTCATCCACGGAAGATGGTCCTCGAGGATCGTTGACTGAAACCGAGGGGGTGGACTAGGCCGCTTGGTCGTCCACCGTAATGGTGAGAAGATTATATCAGTAGCCGGAAGGGGACACTTGTTGGAAAAAAGCTCGAAATATCGGGCCGGCGCGATTTGACGCCGATTAACGGCGCCAGTCTATATGATGCAGGTGACATGCCTAAGGACTGAGGAGAAGTACTTGCTGGTGTTCGAACATGTGTTCGGTCAGCTCAACAACTGACGCTGTTTTGCACCCATGCATTACAGGTGCTAACAAATCATGGAGATTCCTTAAACAGTCCTCTAGTCTACAAACAAAAATAGGACGGTGCGGTACACAGTTTTAAATGCAGAGAAGTGACAGGAGATGTAAGGATTCTTCGAAGGATTTCTGGTTTGGCAGAAGTCGACAAGGTTCACAGAACGACAATTTGAGAGACTTCTGCCGGTGAGCCACTCATCCTTCGAATTCCGACATAACAGCTGCGATGCACATGCGATCAGGCAGCAGGGAAGATATTTGCAAAGTTTTTTTTTCGAAAACGCCATAAAGAATACTGTCAAAGGATAGTCGCGAATTGGAGCGGCTCAATTATAGAAAATCTTGGCATGGTTCGTGTCTTAGAATCTAGCCCATGGAGCTTACTAGTTTTTCAGCGGACAAGGACCAGTGGAATAATCTCCCAGATCAGCTTTCACACCCTCCGTTGCGACTCGACACAACAGCTAGCCGGACAACAGGCGCTGAAAATGCTAATGGGTAAATACGCTTCTGTACATATACCTGAAAAGGGGTTAACAGTTCTCATAGTGGTAATTACCGGGCTGTCTCACGCCATTCTCGGGTAGCACCGTCGTAGCACAACTGTTCCATTTCAGTGAAGAGACGACGTGGAGTGGCGATCTGCTGATTCTCCTTGGGATCACCCTGTTGCAACAGCTGCTGGACACGTTGGCCCGGATCTAGACACTTTATCGTGCTACAAAATCTGCGCACGCAAATATGGGCAGAACCAAAGTCATACCGAGCAGCCGCTTCTCCTCTTTCTCGAGGGTGCCATTCTCATCAGGCTGACTGATCGCGTCGTCGAAAGAGTAAAATTTTGGCGTCGCTCTAGGTGCCCTGCGTCTTCTCTATATCAAACGTTAAATGTACATGTAAACGTCATTCAATCACGATCAAGTTTATACCACAATTCGTAACCCACCGGATCCAAGGAAAGCAATCGATTAAAATAAGTTTAAGGGCAACGTCTTAGTAGCATATCTTTCATCATCAATAACAAAACTATTAATTTACTAAAATTTAACAAACTATTTATATATCGCGCCGATTTGCAATCAGATGATACGTGGGCCAAGGGGAATTGCAACCATAGGGCGCAGCGTGGCGGTACGTTTTGAACTCTCTTACCTGAACAAGTTAGAAAATCATGTTGTCGTCGTAAATCGCAGGCCAGCAAATTGCTACCCTTTTCTGGGCGTTTGCTCCAAAGTAACAGTGAGTTAGAGAGGAGCAGATGGCGTAGCGGTGAAAGGTAGGCTTTCAACTTTGGAGATGCCTGGTTCGACTGCGGAAAAATTCGTTACCTGCTAATTTTACTGAGCAAGCAACCAAGATTCAATTTAACCGAATCTGCTTGAGTGCAGCCAGCCGAGCAACGAATAACAGCGACGGTGTGGTGATCTTGTGTGATCATACCAAAATACGCGAGATGTCGAGATATGCAATCTGACGTGAGCGCCTTAGGACAGCAAATCGCCTTGATCAACAGCTCAGCTGATAATATACCTTGACAACAAGGCGTAAACCCAAATATTATATTTTACGAATAAATCACTTATTCACTATGCCACTGGCCCCATTTCGCAGAATGTATCATAATATATCATAATACTACAATGATCTAATGAGACGGCGCAGAAGACTTGTAACCATCAGCTTCTGTGTGTACAGCTCCTTGTTTTCATACCTGTCCTTAATATGAAAAGCAAATAATTTAAATATGAACAAAAAAGATTTTCATCGTCACTGAGTATCTGATCCTTTCAACTAGAAGTAGGATCGAGAAATAATTGGTAACGCTAGAGATGTATCACATAGTGTAACCTGCAAGCCGTTCACTATATGTCACCTCGCTGGATTATCGATTGATTTGCATTTCGAAAATAGCTAAACTCCTCTCCGAAGCAGGAAAAAAGAAATATTAAGTTTTTAACAATTTCGATGTCGGTCGTTCTTACAGTTTCATTATGGCAATTTCTGGCACCCTTCATTTTATGAAGCTTATGAAGCAGCATTGATTTTCGTTTCTATGCCATCAGCTAGGAGTGCTATTTTTTAAAGGCAAAATCTACGGCGGCGCGGCAAACACACCGCAAGTAATCTCCTGTTTTCTTCCCACAGAGTGGTATTTTTCATCAACCTCTAAAGAAACAAACGCCAGAGATCTGACCGGGGCTCGACTCCAGAATCTTTCGGCTCTTAGTCTGGCAATTCATTGACTATGCAAGTCCGGCCTCAATGTCGACCCTTAATTAAGCTTGTTGTTAACTCGATGATTCTACAGGTGCTCTACTGAAATTTGCAAGCAAAAAAGGCTTTAACGCCAAACTCCTTAGAGCATTATGTTCCCTTTGTGAAAGAAGGAGACATAGAGACCAAACGAGATTTCGAAATCGTTACTTATCCTTCTTTCTAGAGAGGATATATACTGAAGATCTCCATCCTTTCGTCCAAGTTCGCATCGTTTCCCTAGACTCTGCTTGTCTTCAAGATTATGACGAACTTTCATCCTTCTACTGCAGAGATAATGTAGAGAAGATCTGAGGCACGGTCAGCAACTGCACTGAACAAGAATCGCATTCTACCTCGAAAGTAGGAAAGACATATAGCCTGGTCGGGCATGGAACTTGCCACCATTTGGTTCCAAATCCGGTACTTTACCAACTTTGTAACCCAAGTCGACCACAGAGGATAAATTCCGAAACGACAGGTAGTGGAATACGGTTGCTTAATGATACGAAAAACCATATCCTTTTATAGCCCTGTATATCATCTGCAACGATCCGCTCATTTCACTTAGAAAAAACTCCACGGCTAACTGAAAAACCCTGTTTCGAAACCGACATTTGTTGTCAATAGTACTGAGAAACGAAACTAGAACCAACTTCAGCACCCTAGAAGAAAGTGAAATAAGCAAAATTCATAAATGCAAGTAGAACATAAGAGAACTGTAGCTTTGATTAAAAAAAATTAAAACGGTCATATGTACGCTACTCAAAGCATAAAATCTCGTTCACGACATGGAAAGTAGCCAAAGACCTATGCATGACATGGCAGGACCGAGTGAAGCATGGCAAAATGAACCGTCCTTAGCTGTCCTTGCAGCCGTGACAATGGCATCCGTTAATCTAGCCGCCGACTGGAAATGATAGGGAGGTGAAACAATAGAAACACAATTCAATTTAAGGATTTCGCTTCCATAATCACCATAGGCCGAACCAACAAAAAAGTCAAATATGAGGATGGTTCCTGTTTTCAGTGACTATAGTCGTAGTTTGATGAATATTGGGACTGAGATGAAAGACTCTCCTTTTGAACAAGAGCTTGTTCACCGTCACCTGCGAGCCGGTCCCTCACCGACCGAGAGATCACAACTGCAATGGTTCAAAGATGCGATGATGATGCAAGAGGAGACACTATTTCAATACCTATCAAAGTCGTTTATCAAAGCCATGTTTAGAACGACCAAATGACAGGCTTCAGCGTAGATCACTGAAAGATATAGCGGATCTAGTAGAGCCTTGTAATCCAGATCGTTGCACTTGCCCGTTTGGACGAGAATCGAAACTACTTGTAAAACGTATGTAAGCAGTTGCCCTTTTGTGGTCTAACAGGTAGCAGTCATTGAAAACGTATGAACGAATTATAAATGTCCACCTACACCTTGTCGTCGTACTAACGAAGGACCAAGTTTACCGACGTACGGTAAGGCTGGCTAAGACAAAGAATAAACGTAGGAAAGTCTAAGGAATGAATCTATTCTCCTTTGGGTACAGGTATCTCAGTAAATGTAGAAATTTGACAAAATGTTCTACCTTGATAGACAAATAGGTTCAGCTTGCAATTCACCCTTCCGCAGATGGCATCCTTGACATAAACATCTCAGTGAATCTTTATACCACCTAAGTGTGCTTTGGCAAACCGAAGTAGAAAGTAAAGTTCGGTCAGTAGCGCAGAACTGAACTCAGAATATACCAGGATAATCTTTCCAGCCATCAGAAATATCGCTTATACATAATCAGTACTGATTATATATTGTTTGTTCAAACTGGTCCATATCTGAGCATTCAACTGCTGGAGGGTCCTCATGATTTCGATCAAGTGAGCGACCGCTGAGTGAGAAAAGACTATAACGCCATTAGATGCGTAGCTCCTCCAAGACCAGATTTTACGACGTACTGCACCCCCACCTTGCTCCTAGCTGCCAATGGGGTTATTTGATTGTGCCACATGTCCATAAATTTTGCGCAGTGCATCTCGCCTCAATTTGAACGCTAAAGCCACCTCCTTTGTCACGAACGATGTTCCAGGAGCTGGCGCACGTTACAGCATAAGCATTTAAGAACCGAAGAACAGTTAAGAAGACCATGTTCAGCGTTTGGTCACTGAGCACCTTGCCATAACTATCAAAACAGGGTCTATCAATATAGCATTTTACTTGCCAAATGAATACACCTGGAGACGGCAATACATCAACTTATCTCAGACTTTGAGGGCACGAGGCTTGATGACTTACGCATGAGAAACCAAAAAAACGACCGCTTAACATTAACACTAATTGGTAGTACGTCATCACTATGCTGTATTACTGGAAGAATCGACCAGGTCGCAGAATCACCGTGCTTGGCTATGACGAGGTTGACCATCAGAATTTCTAGTGCCTCCAGCAGCCGTAAGTTCAACTGAATTCTGTTCTGTCCTAGTCTTCCAAGCGGCGATCAGACTAATATCACGAATATCATGGAATAAACGAGGTGTTTCAACGGGGTAAGTGATTCTGGATCATTTTACCAACGCCATCGCCAGACCACAAGTCGTTTAAATAGTGGTCCTAATACGGACCATGGGGCGACTAATGACGATGACCATAAGCAACGAGAAACAGGGTACGTTCATTAATATCGTTGCGTTTGCCATGTTCAATTAGTAACTCGGACTGTATGCTGATGGCGGTGTATAAACAGTTGCTGTCGGATTTCGTTCCTTGCGATCGTAATGACGGAAGATATTTAAAAAGATTCAATGTCGAAAACGTTGCTCTACTTACGGTATTTAAGATTCATATTGATGTTGATACCTCACTCCTGGAATTGGAAAGCTTCTAATTGATAGCGGTAGCATTTGGGAATTAAATGGACATAAACATCAAAATCAAACATTACTCTTTCTTTCTTGACCGAGGCTGCTCCTTGGTACAGCGTCGAACCTAAAACCGAGAGATCCCGGGTTGGAGCCCCACTTATGCTACCAGTCTTTCTTCGTGTCGAGGTTAATAAATGAGCACCAATCTGTGGGAAAGAAACAGAAGACTAGATACTGCTCTTACCCCATAGTTGCTGTCGATTCTGCCTTTAGAAAGGCACTACTGGCTAAGGGCATGGAGATCACAGCATCACCAATAACTTCGTCAGAAATGGCCCTATCGTGAGTGTGTAAGAAATAATGATATTCCGGCGGTGACAAACTTTTGCCACTCTGCGCAAAGCTTTCAAGGTTTTCCTCATGGTTTACGCTACCCCAGTTATCGCGATAAACAGTTATCCGGTTGATTACTTAGCTCGAGATTGGGTTACATAGCTGGCCTTTAGAAACAACTCTCCTGTCTAAGGTTAGAATGTACCCTGTAGCCAGTGGAAAGGACGATGCGGTACGGCCATTTGTATGTGTACTGATTTTCATGATCTGCCGTCGCTTCTTAGCTAAGCGGTCACGATGGAGCTGCTCAATTATATAGAAAACCTGACTTAAATCTAGACCAATGAGCTTGTCTGCTTGGTGCCAGTACTGATGGTTAGCCTTACTAGACTAGCTGCCAATGACAAGAGAGGAATATCAGATTGGGATTTAATTAATTAAATAATTTTTTGCAGACGTTGATGAGGGTATTGGGTGGGGGCAGGAGATTGGGTGGACCCGTCGGCCGCTCAAATAAACAGGGAAGAAAGCATACAACCTAGCAGACTGCATCAAACAGTGGGTTAAATCAAATACAGACCGAAAGCGATCCGTGCCTACGTACCTCTAAGCCATGGCTTGTGCCGTTGTCCTGTCCGGGTACGTGGATGCGCGTTCCCAACCAAACCGTATCGGCGCGGCGTTCTGAAACGAACGGCAGTAGAAAAGCGAGTAGATCGGTCAGCCAGGCTGGACAGCGGTCAGCTCGGCCTTCAACCTCGTGCTGTCCACTACTTACCTCGCAGTTTCTCTTCGTCCACATCGTCCACAGAACCGTAGTCCGCCTTTTCGTCTCGCACTACATCTTCGTCTCGTTCTTCATTTTCGGACTTCTCTTCCATTATAAGGCTGAAAAAAGGCACAATACATTTTCAGCCTCGTATAACAACGGCGCAAGAACGTGAAACGTGAATGCACAAATTAACAGACACGATTCTACGACTTTCGGTCGGTAAACGTTGAGCAATACGGTACTTTATACACTGGACATCGATATCCAACGGTTGACAAAAACATGAACTCTATGGATGCGTGTATGGATGTCGGTCGATGTGCCGGCTGCCACCGCTTAATGAGGAGCGACTAAACGTCTGCATCGCTCAGTGATTTAAAGGGCATCACGCGCGCCGCGCCAAACATCTAACCAACCGACGCCTACCCCCCTCCCCAGACTCACACAGATACCTCACGGTAAGAAACGCGCTGCAGTTTGCGTTGGTTACCAACTGCGAAGCGCAAACGTCAAACGTCACAGGTGTTTTTCATTAGCGCCATGGTCAATGAGATTACTTGCGATTAATTGAAATACATGTAAGTATCATCAAAGACGGGACCCCATGCCAATTTAAATGCATTATCGCGGGGAGAAGGAAAAACACAAAAGCATGCAAAGGTCTGCACCTCTTTTCCAACAAAATTTCACTTATTAACAATGTTCGTAATACACCAGTTAAAGGAGCTCACGATGCGACGCTGATTTTCATTCCGATATCGCAGGTACGACTGAAAGCCTTATCCCTAGAAAGCGATATCTGTAGATATGTGAGAAGTATAGCGCGTCATCTCTTAAATGTTCAGGAAACCATGCTGCTGTGGGAATCATAAAACGAAAAATAAAAATGTTCACTTATAAGTACACATGACGGGAATTTACAACGGAAGAGATCACTTTTCAGCTGGATCTTCCAGCCCTCCGCCACCGTCAAAATGAACCGGCTCACTAGCCGAGGTTGTGTCAGTGCACAATGAGGTGCAGCAAATTAAGACGATCAAAAGTTCCTTGCGCAGTCGACACTTGCGTTCGTCGTTTGTCATCTGTCATCGGTTTGTCGAGGTAGAGGCTGCTTTTGCCACTCAACGATCTCCAAATGACTCTAACCATTTAAAATGGGTAAGGCGGTTTGTACAAGTCTTTAACCTTCCCGGACCTCAGTTTCTGATCATGGCGCCTCGTTGACTCGGACCATTAGACAATCCAACCATCATAAACTGCTTAAAATACCAATTTTGCTTTATATGAAGTCAATGTGGTGGGCTGCGATGGTCCGATTGTACAGATACCTGGCGATATTATCAGCTTTCTTAGTCTGATGGCGCTTACCGGTCGTTCAGTACACTCTAGTATCTCCGATGTGGCGCACTGACACAGCTGTC